ACCTCATGTACACATGGACAAACTCCCGTGTTATCAACACCCCCACCAGAGTGGTGCATTAGTTACAACTGATGACCCCCACGCTGACACAGTATTATCACCCACGGTTCATAGTTTACATTAGGGTACATTCTTGGTCGCGTACATTCTGAGGGTTTGGACATATGTATAATGACATGCATCCACCATTATAGTATCATACAAAGTATTTTCACTGCCTTAAAAACCCTCTGTGCTCTGCCTATCCATCACCCCCCGTTTCCCAAATCCCCTGGCAACCACTGTGATCTGTCTACTTTCTCCATAGTTTTACCTTTTCTAGAGTGTTATATAGTTGGAATCATGTAGTATGTAGCCTTTTCAGATTGGCTTCTTTCAAAAAGCTGCTGTAAATATCCATGTGCAGGTTTTAATGTGGACATAAGCTTTAAGTTCCATTGCATAAATACCAAGGGTCATGAAACCTGGATCATATGGTAAGAGTATGTTTAGTTTTGTAAGAAACTACTAAACTGTCTTCAGAAGTGGCTGTACCATTTTGCATTCCCTCCACCAACAAAGGAGAGTTCCTATTGCTCCACACCCACTCCAGCATCTGGTGTTGTCAGCGTTCTAGATTTTGGCCACTCTAAAAGGTGTATAGTCATTTCACTTGTGCTTTTAAATCTATCTCCTAACCTCTCAAGGATTTTGTTCCTGTAATAATCTCTTTCTCTATTGTAATCAACTTTTCTCTGGTATACTGGATCATTCCCATCAGCATATAAATGTATTCTCATATCTTCTTTCTATAAAAACTTTTCCTTGACCCCAAATTCACCATTAGCTACTGACTCCTTTATTCTTAAACTTCCCAAATAGTTGTGTCTACGTACTTTCTCCACTTCCCATCTCTAATTCTATACCATTCCATTTCCATCAGCCAGATCCTAATATCCAAGGGCATGAATGTGAATTCTGAGCCTTTGCTGCTGTTCAGTAGTGTCTACGTACTTTCTCCACTTCCCATCTCTAATTCTATACCATTCCATTTCCATCAGCCACATCCTAATATCCAAGGGCATGAATGTGAATTCTGAGCTTTTGCTGTTGTTCAGTGGGAGGCAGTGGTACGCTCGCAAATGTTTAACAACTGGCTCAACAAAAATGTTTGAGTATACATAGGCATGTGAGTTTATTATAAACTTTACTGAAAGAAACAGTATATAGTGAATAATTTGAAAATAATAATAAAATACACAATACTGTTTATTACAGATTCCATTTAGCCAATTGATTTTCACAAACGCTAAGAAAGTTGATCACTAGAAGTAGGGAGTAGAATGGTGGTTACCAGAGGCTGGAAAGGGTGTGGGGCGGCGGTGGGGGCAGTGAGAGTTTGGGTACCAAATAAAAAGTACAGCTAGATAGGAGGAATAATATCTAGTATTCTTACAGCACTGTTGGGTAACTATAATTAACAACAATTTATTGTATAGTTTTAATTAGAAAAGAGGACTTTGAATGTTCCCCCCACACACAAAGATGATAAATGTTTGAGATAATGGAATAAAAAAACCCCAGTGGTTTCCAGGGTTTCAGGGGAGGAGAAAGGAAAGGAAAGAGGAATGAAAGGGTGGAGCACAGAGGATTTTTAGGGCAGCAAAATTATTTTGTATGATACTGTGATGGTGAATACGTGATGTTATGCATTTGGCCAAACCCATAGAACCGTACAATATGAAGAGGAAACTCTAATGTAAAATTAAGTTAATCATAATATATCGATATTGGTTCATAATTGTAACAAATGTACCACACTAGTGTAATATGTTAATAGTAGGAGAAACTGTGTATGTGTGTGGGGGAAGGTTATGGGGCTGTCTATACTTTCTGCTCGATTTCTCTGTAAACCTAAAACTGCTATGAAAATAAAGTCTATCACTTAGAAAAGAATTTTTAAAAAGAGAAAAATGTGTAGTGATTAATTTGCAAATAATAATAAAATACACAATACTTTCTATTGCAAATTCCATTTAGCCAATTGATTCTCACAGAATGTTTTCATTGAGTTTTCCCAAACTCTTGTCTCTGTAATCAACCTATGGTTGCAGTTGATGACTGGATTAGTGCCAACATGAATGCTGGTGGATATTTTCCTTCAGCTGAATGAGTAAGACAGACGCAAAACAACAAAGACTTATGTCAAAACTTCTATCATTCATCTGTGATGTGAGCAGCTTATTTGCTGAACCAGATAATAGCTCCTGAATGTTGGAAGAATATTTCCTCAGTTTAAAAAAAATTCATAATGTAATGGCTACAGATGTGACACACTTTTAAGTGTAATCTTCATCATTAATCTCAAGGAAATAGATAATACTAAAATACAGTAA